CAGGTAGGACAGGAGAATTAACTGTTGCTAAGATGGGTCGCATGAAGTTATCCCTGGTGCAGCTTCTCTAGATCTTGCAGTAGTTAAGATACAGAGGATTTTATTTTCTTCTTCCCTATTCCTCTCATTTGGGCAGCTTGGCCATACATTGAAGTCTTAATTTATACTTCTATTTTTATCACTGCAGAGAAGCATTAGACAGATTTTCTACTTAACCCAACACATGGGCAAAGGAAGCTATTACCAATCCTGACCCAGATCGCAAGGAAAGGAAAGCTCTCTAAAAGGATTCTAATCAAAACTTTTGCGATGCTTCTGGCCCGATGTGCCATCATTAATTTAATATCAAAGACAAAACCTGTTTCCGGGAGATCTCTCCTCCCCACCAAAAAAAAGAGTTGATAATCCATAGGGGACCTGCACCAGACTGTCCTATATAATAAAAGCTATTTTAGTAACGCCTTTAACTTGAATAGTAGGGGAGGTGTTGAGTTGGTAGTCTTTCTTTTAAGGATTATATAACATAGCAAGCATGAACTGTAATAAGGTTTTGAACACAGTTTGTTCAAAGCAGTGAATATTGTATAAGAGTCACTTCTTCACATCTGGGCTTTAGGCAGATGACGAAGAAACTTTGCAGCTTTCTCAGTTACTGAAACTGGGTCCTGTCCTGCCTTATTGTCTTAGTGGCATTAATAATGTAGAGGAACCACTTATTCAATCTGTTTGTCAAAGCATTTCAGGAAAGGATGGGATGGGACATGTGAGAGGAGATGAATGAAGAGTAAGGATAAGGGAAATTAAAACCGTAGATGAGTTTTTGTACTAGAAAGCATCAAGGAAAAGAGAGTATATTCCTTTAGGAACTGAATATATTAAAGATTTCAAAATCTGCTTATAAAATCTGTGTTAAGGGAAAATTGCCTTGCGTTATAGAGAAAAAGTCCTTTTCAGGGGGAAAAGGTTCATTTAATAAGAATTATTACACTCACGGTTTGTTCAGTGTCCACATAAGGAATAAACATCTTTTTTTTTTCTTTTGGAAAGCAAATTATGTAAGTAATTTGAAAGGAAGATTTTCAACTGAAACAACTGAACAAAAGAGTAGCTGATAATGAGTTATTTAAAAATATGATGAGAGGGAGGGAGGGAGGGAGGGAAGGAAGAAAACATGGATAAAGAAAAAATAAGCTTGCAAGCTTTGGCACTTGATTCTACAGGCCACCATGCACGCACTCACACAAACATATGCACGCAGAATAGTTTGGCTTTTGGGAGGGGTGATACTGGCAGGTTGTTAAACAAAAAAGAAGGCACATCTGTACAAAAAAAAAGATGAGTTGCTCTTCTCATGCTGAGTTTTGTCTATATTTGATTGCTTCCCCAACATTCCTTCAGCCCATTTATTATAAGCAAGTGAAGGAATGGTTATCATAAGACTATCAGTACTAGTTCTTCCAGATCTCTGATCCATATAACTACTAAGCATCATGCGCAATTCATTTATAATCTACTCTGCATAGTCTTTAATTTAGCAAGCTAGCAGTTAAAAAGGAGGGAAACATGGCAAAGCACTTTCAAACACAGATGTCTGAGAGGCAAAGATCTCCTAGCAGAAGAGATGGGATGAGAGTCACTTAGTTCAAGTACAGTACAGTCACGTTGGATCGGGTGTCTCCACAAAAGTTGTCCAAAACCTTTCCAGTTCCTACCACAATGGCTCTACAAAGGCAAAATCCAGGATCAACTCTCATTTTAAGGCCAAAAAGACTTCTTCAGCAACATTAGTGGGAGCAGATGCAGCATATTTTTAAACCCAGGCTCAGAAGGAGGCTGCTTTGTAGTTACCTCTACTCTGAATGAGAACCTTTGCTAACTGGCATGGCTCTCCTCTCTACTGAATTCCAATTTTGCCATTAAAAGATACTGTTTTCTGGAGAGACAGTAGCATGGTAAGAATAATCACCTACCTGAAGAACCAGTCACACAAAATGCATTCATTCAAGCCTCCGACACCAGAGACTTTATATTTAACTGTACTTATCATTCAACTTGTGCATCGGAACCGTATCAATTTATGAAATGCTTGTTTGAAGTCTTCATTGGACATAGTGTAGATGATAGGGTTGATCAGAGAGTTAAGATATCCCAGCCACGTGAAAAAGTCAAAGATGGCCATGTGGAACCAGCAAGCATCTTTACAAATAGGCAACACTAAACTAATGATAAAGAAGGGTAGCCAGCACACAATGAAGGCTCCTAAAATAACCCCTAAAGTCTTGGTTGCTTTCCGCTCTCTGGCAGCCATCAACTTCTTTTTTTCCAGAAAAGCATCCGATACCTTCACTTTGACCTGGTTCGTATATACAGGAGACCCCATTTCACTGGATGCTTCCGAGACCTTGCAATTTATAGAAGTGACAGAGGATGTTGACCCTGGGGAATCTGTTATTAAGTGAGCCCGAGTTAATCTTTTGCCGGTGTTCTTTGGCGTCTGTTTCAAAATCCGAGATCTGGCCTCCACGTAGATCCTTCCATAAAGGATCAGCAGCAGCAAGGTAGGAAAATAGAACGCCCCCACTGTGGAATAGATGGTATACAAGATGTGGTCTGAATTCACCACACAGTTAGACATCTCTTCAGCTTTAGACTGCTGCCAGAAGAAAGGAGGGATTGAGATGGAGATCGAGAAGACCCACACCAGGGCGATCATGCCCGCCGCTCTCTTGGGAGTCCTTTTAGTCGAATACTCAACTGCGTCTGTGATGGCCCAGTATCTGTCCAGGGCAATCACACACAAATGGAGAATGGAAGCAGTGCAACAAGTGATGTCTGAAGAGAGCCAAATGTCGCACACAATCTGGCCCAGGGTCCATTTCCCAGTCACAGTGTACATTGTGCTGATAGGCATGACCAGGAGGGATACCAGAAGGTCAGTGACAGCCAAGGAAGCTATGAGATAATTGGCCGGGGTGTGGAGCTTACGACTCTGGTAGACAGTGACAATCACAAAACCGTTGGACAATATTGTGGCCAAAGTGATGAGAGCCAAGATGACGGTGAGAACAACCTTCCAGGAGAACGGGGTGCCATCTTGATAGATGGAACTTTCTTCAGGACTGCAATTCCTGGTCTGGTCGGAGTCATTGGCGTGGAAGGCGTTTAGGCCTGGGGTGGCTTGGCAGAGCCTAGCTTGATCCATGCCTCCAAAGTTGCCGGGGACTCGGGCGAGGAGGGGAGCGCCGCCAGGCTCAGCAATCCGAGGAGGGCAGCGCCCTCCTCTCCTCACGCCACACCTCGAGAGAATCCCGCACGGGGAACGAGGGCACGCGAGCCGCCTGGACGGCGGGGACGGCAAAAAGGAGCACGTGCGCGCGGCTCTTCCAATGGAGGCGCCTCCCGCTCGCCGGGCGGACCATGGCTCGCCCCAACGCCGCCGCCGCCGCTGCCGCGCTCTTCTCCCTCTTCTTTGCTGAAAGCCAAGCCGACGCCTCAGCACGTGCCGGCCGCCAAGCGAGGACGTCTCCGCCAGCGGCAGCCGGTTCGGTGGTGGCGACCAAGGGACATCGCGGAGGTCCGAAGTTCGACGCGACGGATAAGGCAGCGGCGGCGGCGGCGGCCGGGAGAGTTTTTCTTTCGTGAAGCGGAGGTGGCGCTTTACGATCCCCCTGGGCGAGACGGAGCAGCGAAGAGACCGGGAGAGGGCTAGCAGGCGTGGTTTGCCACCGTTGTTGACCGGGCGTGACTGGACGCCTTCTCTCTCGCAGAGACACGGGACGCGCAATTGTCCCCCATGGCGCCACTTCCACAACTTTTGCAGAAGCGGGCGGGCGGCTGGAAGGAAGGCAGCGCAGCGAACTCTCGATGTGAGGGTCTCTCTCCCAGGGCAGAGCTCAAGTCCGGCGGACGCAGACTTCTCCGGCAGAGACGGCCGACGCCTCAGCAACCGAAGGCGCGCGGTCCCTGCCTCTCCTCTGCTCCCTCTTTCTCTCTCTTTACAGATGTATGTATGTATGTATGTATATATACTGGCCCGCCCGCTCAGACTCGGCTCCGCTCTGCGCGAGCTTAACAAGGCAACTCGTGGTCTTCTCTCCCAGAGCTCCGGCTCCCGGCCCCTCGCCACCGCCCCGCCTCAGTCTGCCCCGAGAGGATTCCGCCGGGTCCTAAGACCGACCTCTCCTTTGCGCCCCCCCCCCCCCCGCAACTCGTTACGAGCCTTGAGAAATGTATCCTTTCGCCAAACCTCGTTGACTTGTCAGTGGGGATTCTGGATTGAGTTGAGCCGAGCTTGTGATCCCTTTCAAATGTAATAATGACTCCAACAGCAATATAGCGACACTGACGGCAACTCAAAACTGTGGCTTAAAACGGAAAGACGCGAACTGAAAAAATACCGACCGAAACCGAGTCAAGAGAAGTGGCGAAAAAAAAACATCAAATCCCCCCCCACCCAATTCGAATTCGCTGCTTCTACATGATGTACGGGTGTCTAAATCGTTGGTAGTTTTGCGGCTCTAATGGACTTTGATAAACCTTCATATTTTAGACGCAAGAATATGCGTCTACCACCACGGCTGAGAGAGATCCGAGCAAGAGGGTTTTCTCGACTCCCGCGTCTGGTTTTGGAACGCCTCTTTCTGCCCTTTACTAGAAATAGGAAATGGGACTGGAGAGTTTTCTTACTCTCTTATGCAGCTTTATCCCGCGTTCTTAATTTTCCTTTCCACCTAACCTAGGTATCATTATGGTGCCCTTTTGCTCTGATTTTCGACTTTGGCTGCAATCTTAAAGGGACACTTTCCTGGGAGGAAACTTTGGGGAAGCCAGCGGGGTTTACTTCGGAAACTTGTATAGAATGGCACCAATTTCTCCAATCGGTGGAAACAGGTTCCCAAAAAAAAAAAAAAAAAGCGAAATCGTTGCTCGGGAATTGATCTCTTCTTGATTTGTGACTTTTTGGGTGGGGGCGGAGGGGGGAGAATTCTGGGAAAGACGAATCGGTTTTCTCCTACTTGAAACCGCTTCGTCCTTTCGCAGCATTTCACCGCGCCAGGATTCAGGCTCCGGCTGACTGTGCAAATACAGGCGCCTGGCTTCCTGCACCAGCGCCTCCCCAGACGCGCCTTGAGAGATCCGCAGCCCTGCGCAAAGATACTCGGCTACAAGTTCTACAGTGGGATTTGATCTTCCAAGTAAGCAATGGGGCGCCTATAGCGGATCAGTGGGGCCTCAGAGACGCCTAAGGAAAGCCCAACAAAGCTGGTAGAAGTTGCTCAGCCACAGGGCTCAGGGCTAGACGGCGCTCCCCTTCCTTCTCAAGAGGGGAGGAAATCCGAGAGCTTAGAGGGGCTTAATGCTAAACAAACCTGCTTATTGGGATCTGCCTGCCTCTCGTGTTTAAAATCTCAATCCATCCTGGCGCTTCTCCATGTTGCCGCCTTGTACGGTACAGCCTGCTTTGGCTGAGGTCCCTTCTCGCCTTGTTATTAATTAGTAACCGTCTGTTTAAGAGTGGTTTTCATTTATTTAATGGTATTTATTTCTGGGATGCCTCTCGGGTTCCAAAGTCTTTACGAGACAATTTGCTATCATCATCATCATCATCTCCGTTTATAAAGCGACCATACGAAGTCGCGGTCGGACCGGGCTGATGGAGTTTATCGCCGGATGAACGCGCGCCGAAGTCGATCGCGAACAAGTGAGGGTCTCCCGGGGGGTGGCGGAGAACCGGACTTTCCTCGAAGCTCCCTGAACTCGCGCGTAGACACTGTCGCTTCTCTCGCGGGCTGCGCTGAGATTCGGGTTGGAATTTCCCCGAACCGTTTCCCGAAATAAAGACCGAAGCCGATCGGAGCGGTTGGTGGGCAGCTGATCTCCGCGGTGTTGCGCCTAGTTGAAGTAGCCGGATGGATTTATCCTCGCTCTCTTAAAAACGATTCGGCATTTTGGGGTTTTGCTCCTGATGCAGAGTTACGCGCTAGTCTCTCCTCGGTCCCCACTGGCCGGCGTATAATCTCGGCGAGGGAGGAAAACGTCCGGGCGTTCTGCCTGTAAAGCTTGGCGCTTTAATGATCCAAAGCTGGGTTTTATCCCTAGATTATTATGTAACCTTCCCAAACGCGATCGTTAAAGCGCTTATTGTCGCGCGTTTCAGAAAGTATACGCTAGTAGTCCGATCCCGAAGCGCGTTTACACGGGAGTAAGCAACTCCATCGAGATTTGCAGCGTGCGCTCCCAAGAGAGGGCGCTTCCTTTGCAAGCCTCGGCTCTCCTCTTTGCCTTAAGTGGAGTTAAGTCTTAAAAGTCTGCGTTGGACACATGCAAGTTCATAAGCCTTCCATGGATCGGATCATTTAATTGGATCTGAGTTTGGAATAACTTCTGCCTCTCCTTTCTCACCCACTTTCCTTGTGGAGGAGAAAGAGCCTCTCTTAAATTAACGCCCCCCCCCCTTCTGTTCTAGTCAATCTCCTTCCATTGTCTGAATAATGAAAGCAACAGGTATAGAGAAAGCATTCAATGGAGTATCCTCCCCCAGAGGTTGTTGTTGTGTTTGGTTGAATCATAGGCGTAGGTCCTGGTGACTCAGCCAAAAGAACCAAACCCCAAATGTCCCTAAAACTCTTTATAGGCAGAATAAGAAAGTGATATCAATTACAGTGCAGTGTGGGCAGAAGAGGTGGACAAATCCTTTCCTATCAATTGAATCCTTAGGATAATGTGCACCCACAACAAGGAGTCATCCCACTATGGTTCTTGGAGAACAGTGACCGCTAACATTGATCTGGTGTTTTCATGTGCTCTCAGCTGTGTTCTTAAACTAATGAGCTAATGCTCTGCGGATTGTCCCTTAGTGTTACAGAAAAGTGTCCTGGGTCCGTTGCTGTTCAAAACTGAGTGAGACCTTGAAAGGTAGAGGAATGGCTAAGAAAAGTCTGAGGGGCTTGTTTTGGAGACATTGGGGGTGCTTTTTTTCTTAAGGTGGACCAGAAAATTTGCCAGAGCAGCCAGGTAATCTCTTATACATGATATTTGACATTTCCCAGCTGCCATTTTTCTGCTCCTTTTGAGCTGTGGTTGCCCTCTTAGCATGAAAACTCAGCTTGCTTTAAGGTCACTTCCAGCTTTCAGCCTTTTCCTCATGCAGAGTCTTCCATTCTGAAATCTGTTTGAGGATGGGTGCTTGCTTGTGCAATGGAAGAATCTTTGGTTCATGGTGATTGAAACGTTGACTGAAACATATAGGGCAGGGCAAGGGGGGAGTTTCCAGGGGTTCCTCAGAGGAACCTCAGAGTCTATATGGTACTTAATGCAGAAGCTCCTGCTGTTGTATCATCCAGATGGACTGGCCCTCACTGAATTAAACGGTGCAGACTTCTGTGTCAACATTTAGCCCAACTTCAGGAAGATTCACAAGCCACCTAAACCAATACAATCCCAACACTGTGCTTGAAAGGAGATCCTGTTTTAAATAACTGACTTAAAATGCACCTATTACTTTGGTAGATTACTAAACGCATTGTTGTATTGTAGAAATGAAGCATTGTGTTTCCAATGAAACTGAATTGCTAGCTACCGGTAGCATCACCAAATGAAAATTGCCTTCATTGTATTTAATCACTGAGAAGTTAATTGAAATGCAGTATATTAAAATATTTTAAAAGTTTACTTACTATGAGCCAAAATGTTACTGCAAGATAGTCTTAAGGTCACAAAAGACAAAACTGTTTTGAGGTGGGGTGCCCCTTGGAACTGAGCAGTTCAGATTTGAGGTGGGGGTCACTGTTAATAAGCTTTAAGAGTTAAAGAATTTAATACTTTAAAATTGTCAACAGTTTAAGACAGGCACTATAAGGATGATGGCACAAATGAAGATAATGGAATGAGAAGTGATTTAGATCAGGACCAAAAATATAGAAAGCCATCACCATCAATCCTTTTCTCTGGGAAACTGGAGGACTTGGCTATTAATAAAGACACTAGCCTCCTCCTTCTAGAATTCATAGAAACAATTGAGAAAAGTTTGAACATTTAAAAGAAAAGTGCAAATCTCTGTTGAGATTGCACTGCATTTATCTTTATTGAGTTAGGAAGCCTATTAATTAGGAAACCTATTAACGTTAGAACCTAATCTGTTCTTTCAATAAACATAGAAAACAAAACTTCGAATGGTAAAGATATCTGGCCAAGGTCAGTTCCTGGACCTTATCATGCAATTTATTTGGCAACAACACAAAAGTAGCTGCCATTTCCTATACTATAGAGCCGTGATGGCGAATCTATGGCACACATGCCAGAGGTGGCATGTAGAGCCCTCTCTGCTGGCACCCACACCGTTGCCCCAGGTCAGATCTCCATGGCATTTATTTCCTGAGCTTCTGTTTCCCTGCAAATGACGAAAAGAGAAGCTCACGAAAGAAAAAGATCTTACCTCTTGCCGCGCTGCCGGTATTGGGATGCCCCACCTCCCACCAGCCAGCTGGTCTTTGGGTCACTGTTGCACATGCGTGCATGTGCACACACATGCATGTCCACGCATGCACACATTTGCACATGCATACCTTTCAGTTTGGGCATGCGCATGCACGCAGTTTGGTGACTTGGTGTCTAAAAGGTTCGCCATCGCTGCTATAGAGCAGTGGTGAAATGTAAAAATTATTACTACCAGTTCTATGGGCGTAGCTTGGTGGGAGGGGGTAATGTGACTGAGTGGGTGTGGCCAACTTTTTTTTTTTTACACTTTTAAAACCATTTTTTCTACAACCTCTTCGGCTGAAGAGGTTGTAAAAAAATGCTTTTAAAAGTCTCTGATGATCCCATCTGAGTTGCCTGATCGTCAGAAGCTTTTTTTTTTCTTTTAAAAACATTTTTTCTACAACCTTTTCAGCCAAAGAGGTTGTAAAAAAAATGCTTTTAAAAATAAAAAAAGAAAGCCTCTGATGATCGCGTGGCTCAGCTAGGCATTGGGGGGTGGGCAGGGATTTTTGCTACCGGTTCTCTGAACTACCCACCGCCATCGCTACCGGATCAGGCGATCCAGTCCAAACCGGGAGCATTTCGCCCCTGCTATAGAGGTATTATTTTCCCAGTCTAACCTGCAGTCCTGAGAATCCCTGATGGTTCTCGATCTGTGGACAGGACAAGCCCAACCCTGTTAAATTCTGAGTTCAAACAAGTTCAGGGAAGTGCTTCCGATAGCTTTGTGTTTTGGTAAACTAGGACATGTTTGTGCTTGGGAATAGCATCTGAACATCTCTTCCTCCCACACCTTCCTATATAAAACATTTACCATGTGTTGCTTTCCCAGTAGAGGGAAAATAGGGATCTTTACACTTAGCTAAGGTTGTCAGTAGTTAGAGAGTATTCTTTTGTACTCTGGCTCTACACTGTATTCCATCTGTCCTTTGAAATGTAAACTCATCTGTTGTGGAATTGGAACCAGCGCTGTCTGTTTTATTGCTGTGTTTTTAATTATACTATATTTATTTGCCTGTGCTTTCATTGGTAGAAGTTTTGATCTCCATGTGTTGTTTGGGAAGGTGGGATACAAATGAAGTAAATAATGAGAATTATTTTAAAAGAAGTTAGTTTAAGAATATGAGTTGTATTAAGAATATACAAGTCTTAAGACTCCATTATATCTTAAGTTTCGTATCTTTCACTTTCTTCTATATAAGAAGAAATTATCCATAATTATCCATTATCACCATAAGTGATAATTTCTCAAAATTTGAGTATTCTGTTTTTTCTGTCGCTGATGGAAAATATATTTTAATGATGCATCTGAAAGCTAAAATCATTAATACCGCAATATATATATATATTAACAGTAATCAAATAAATCCACTTTATATTCCTTCCATTTACTTTTAAAATGCTCGATGTTCAAGCATGTCAAATAATCTCTCAAGTTAATTTCTTATTTCCACTTTCTCTCCTTTCAGGAATACCCTCAGTCGTTTAACAAGTCTCTCTTGTAAATCTAAGATAGGAAGGTTTTCAAAATCTCTCTTCTGATTTATTCTATATGTCCTCTTTAGATATTAAGACATCAGTTTGTTTCATATGTAAAGCCATTGTGACATCCTTCTCCATGTTTGGCATTTTTAATTCAATTTTAGATCCTCGGCATCTTTTTTCGTATCACTCTTTTAGTCTGACATTTTTTTAAAAAAACCATTTTCAAATCCAC